GACCAGAAGATAGAAGCCCATGTTCTGCTCCAGGTACATAGAAAACATCATTGAGGTACACCACTACCGGTTCCCCGTCAGCTTCGGAGACAATAGCAACTGTGCCAACACCGGCAATCCTCGATGCAAGTGCTGTGGTAGCCCCATGAACACTCTGTGATGGACTGGTATCTTTCGTGAATGCCACGTAATATGATTGATTACCAGTCAAATGAATGTTTGCGCTGTGTCGAAATACCACCAGCCATTATTGGTGTTCGCCGGACCTTGGCTCTCATGAGCTTCATGCACCTCTCGAATTGCATTTTCGCCCGAATGGGGCTGGCTAGCATCACTAACCGCTTCTTCTATTCTAGCGTCGATCATCATGGCATCCAGTGCACCGGTTACTACTCCGACTTCCACGTCTCCACGTTCTGAATGCTGTTGCGCGTCCTCACTCCGGCGAATAGTCACATTCCCACGAGGTTTTCGCTTTTGCTCATTAGCAGTAGGTCCTCCACCATTATGAACCCCCGCACGCTCAGGACAATCGGCCTTCAGATGCTTCGTACTCTCGCAGATGTGACACTTTTTCTGCCTTTTGAAGTCTTTAGACGTCTCCTGCAGCGATCGATTATTCTTTGCACTGTTGTCCTTAGCTCCGCCAATATTACCATCATGCTTCGGATTACCACGTTGTCCGTTATTTCTATTCCGGAACTCCTTTTGTCTGGAATCAGCAGCACGAATCATAGCGCGGACACTATCTGGAGTGAAGGCACCATAATTCGGATTATACTGAATAGCAGCCTTCATGTTCTCGAGCTCAAGTTGGTTTGGCAAACTTTCAAGCAGCATCTCCACCGTGTCAATATCCTCCACAGTATACTGCAATGAAGCCAACTCAGTCCGCATATTAAACATTTTACTTAGGTGCATATTCACTTCTCCAATAGAGCTCAGCTTAGTGTGTCAAAGCTCATTTCGAAGACAGCGAATGTGATGGGCCATTACCGCCTTGTTCGATGTGCCCTCGAACAAATCACTCAAGGCCTTCCACATCTCTGATCCAGTAGTTTTGTCCCGAATCTGGTGTAAGATGTCGGGTGGTACTGACGTTCCTACCATGCGCGTGATCTTCATCTGATTAAGATCGAACTCTTCCTCACGCTCAGCACTTGAAAGCATCGATCTGGTATCGTCCCTTCCACAACGTTCGTGAGTGTCTTCTCCCGAAAAACAGCGTTCATCGCCCATTTGTTGGTCGCCCAGTCTTTTCCATCCCAATTATTGGGTATCCCTTCAGCAGTGTACTTGAGTGGCTGTGTCATCTTGAACCACTACTAGTGCAGCAGAAACTCCGTAGTACTTGGGCTCAGAACCCTATGGGAATATGCACTTTAGTTCGTATGACCACGACCACACACTTAGAAGAGAAAATGGAAAGTAAGATCGAAAAACTCATTAGCGCTGTTTGCCTCGAAGCTCCAACATTCGTCTTAAGCGGGCTTGAACAACTTCTCAAGCTGCCACCCACTTCACTTGACTTCATTATGCTCCGACGCACTGCTGCGCTTATCCTTATACGCAGAGTCCCATAGTTCGTTGGTCTTCAACTTCACCAACGGCTGTACTCGACCAATGCATTACATCTGCACTCATGGTGCTTCGCCAATATTCATTCCAACACTATCGTCCTTTTCGTATGTGAAAACATTTCGTATCGTATCTGTAAAGTGCAATATTTGTATTCCATATGTGCTCCCAAATCACTACGGCTGATCAGCTCTTCAAGTGCTGTCAACCACACCGTTTGTTCAATAAATTTGTTATGGGCTTCCGTGTATAAACACGTTCCCACATGCCTTCGTTGCGTTTTTATGGAACCAAGAAACGAGGACACATGACAATCTCCAATCGGAGCTTAAAAGAGATATGTTTAGTCTCTCTAATAGAAGTCCCGGTCAGCAAGACTGCCACAATTGTATTTGCAAGCTCAAAATCCAGTCAAGATTAAGGCGTCCGTCCTCCTCTACTCGCACGTAATTTGAAGAAACAACTAGGCGTTGCACCAAGGCCAGCATGTTCCATTAAGGTCTGTATTGCATCGCTGCTGCTTAAAAGACATATACGAGAAGAGAGACAAGCGATATTTTGCCGAGAATATTTGCGCTCGCCAGGAGAACTTTCTAGCCATCTTAATTTCTGCACTCCCTCCTCCCCCAGCTGTGACCTAATTTGCGAGTGATCTGGCTAAACAATCAAGCTGAAAAGATACACGCACGAAGGGCAGTACTCGGAGAGCTGCTAGACATCCTGGATTACTTCCTAGCGCTATGTCCCGGATGAGATGGAGGGGTTTAAGAAATTCTTTTTGACTTTAAGAATTTCCTGATATATTTAATTCTCGTTCCTCTTCCAAAACCCTTTTTGCGCTCCTAAACGCAAAAGTAATATCGATGCCATATCGCCAAGTGGTTGACAATCTTCTCGACAAATTTATAAAGCTCGCATTTAACCCCTCTAGCCCGCGTTTTTGGGCCCAAGTTATCCTGTATTATACAGGATAACGAAATGACTTGGCTTAACTATTGCGGAGTTTTTGTGAGGATTGTGAGGATCACAATCATTTTTGGGTATCTATCGTGAACAGTACAGTGTATTTTGAGGAGATGTGATGGTGTATCCTGTATTTCCCAGCTACAGTTCATGTAATCGTAGAGAAAAAAAGTCGAAATTTACAACTACCTTCATTCACAAGTATACATACATTAATTTGATTAGATCACTGGGGTCTCCACGCCGCCATCCGTTTGCGACCCTCCATCACTTCCCAACCTGGCGCTACAGCTATCATTAGGGACATTATCGTCTCTGTCGGATGCCTGCGCTCCTTGACCTGCTGGAGCACGCAGCCTGATCGTCTTCAACCCTGGTGGAATGTTAGCGCCGCCTCCCCAAAGCTCGTGCCAAATTTGGCTGCAGGTGGCAGAGTTTGTCGCCGCAGTCGGATCGTGCTGTCGCACCTTTTGACATAAATAGATCTTGCCCTTAGCACTTGAGCTGTTGTCAGGTGTCCCCGCGAATCTTGTCTCGGTACACTCAACGCAATAGAAAGTAGTTTCCCACGGATTCCTCGTCCGTCGCAGTAATGAGCATACCTTGCAAGCGTACTGTCGACGCTTTCTCGATTCGTTGCCGTTCTTGCCTCGCGTCGTACGGTACACTTCGACTTGCTTATTTGTATGGCTTGTCGATAGTCTGTATCTCGGAGTCGGCGAAGGGGGTACCGGCGTGTCAGTCAGCGCGCGAATCGATAAGTCACCTTCGAAATCTGATGCGCCAACAACCAGCAGGGACATCTGCATTACTCGCATAAAGTGCGCATGCGTTGGTTGAGTTGAGCCAGATGTGCGATCACCTTGCACGCGGCGAAAGATGATGAATGCGTTGATCAGAGCCATGCCAACAAGCCCAAGGAAGATAGTGTGGTAGTACTTCCGCATTTTCATGGCACCCTGAACAATACAGGATAAAGTTAGATGTAGTTTAGTTGATCGTGGATTATACAAGGTAAGTGTAATGCGAGAAAAACGGACCTGAATTGAGTATCTCTGTAGCCGCAATTGATCGTGTACGTCAGCCCCTCCTATGCCGTCTTGATACTCCTTGACAAGGCACGGTGCTGGTACATCGACAGCTGTGGAGCCCTCACGCCTCGACAGAGTTGCTGGTTCCGTGCTGCAGCCCGTGGAGATGAAGTGTACGGGACGGTTGTCCATCCACGACACCGCAATCATGCTGGGTTCCTCCTTGGAATGCGCGATACGATGACCCTCGTGCCATACTTTTGGGTCGCTTCGCATTCTTATGCGGGATAGCTTTGCAGTAACCACGTCGGTTGGTTTGAGTTGTACCAACATGGTAGAGTCCACGCTGCAGCAGAATCGAAGACAGCAGTACGCTTGAGTAGAACCGATCCGTGATAATGAGCCGTTTCTTGGATAGGCCGTTGAGGACTGCATCAACATTGCGCAACACGGCGTTGGGGGCTTGGTTCAGATCCGCGCTGTCTGTTTCAGCCTTTCCTTGATAAATTTCGGCCCTATACAGGATAAAACTAAAAGGCGTGAGGTTTTTTCCTGTATCATACACGAACATAACACCCATACCTGTAGCAGTAGCCGGTATGAGCGTCACACGTCAAGAAGCACGTCGTACCCCATGGGTGGGGCTTCCCTCGAAGATACTGGCGCATTGGGCTGTACTTGCTCCTCATAGGTATCGTTCCTTCGTCGAAGGCAATTCGTTGACCCACCGTCATCCCCAGCTTGAATGTTGTGTTGATTGTGTCGGCGATAGGCTTGATCTTCCACGTCTTGTACTTGACCGCATCAGGATGACTGTTGTCACTAAAGTGCAAGAAGTGCACGATTTCTTCGAATCGCTTTCTTGCCATGTAACGCCCAAATGTTCCTTTGGGAACCGCACCTTGAGCATCCACTGCCCAGTGCTTTGACAGCTTTTCTTTGTGAGGACACAGGGTACGGGCACAGAGTAGCCCAATGAAGTTCACCAACTCGTGGGCTTGAATAGATTTGAACGCTCTCTGCTCTTTCTGAACTTGCTACAGTGTCTTCATCTTGTACGCCGGTCGTCTGTCCTTGATGCGTTGTTGGCGAGCCATGATCTCTTCCGCCGCCTGCTCCCGGTACTGGAGCTGATATCGGTTTGACTCGGTAGCAATAGCAAGCCACATCTCTTTGGGTAGGAACAAAAAGAATAACTCTTCCAGGTTGCATCCCAGTGCTTGAGCGAGCTGGGTGGAGGGGCGATAGCACGTGCTAGATCGGCAGCAGGTAACTGCAGAGAAGTACCTACATCAGGCATCGAAAACATATAATTAGTGTCTGATACAGGATTCCGTTACGGTTCAGAAAATGACATCCTGTATCATACAGGTTTGTACTTGCATTTGTCTTCGAAAAAGGTCTTTCAGCCAGTTTTTGCGTGTTCACTCAATTGCTCCTTGGTCTGTCAAAGGGGGTCCCAGCAGAGCGATTTAACGCGTCCTCTTCATCACTCGTCGCTTCATCTTCGCTACTGAAACTTTCACTGGAGGCTTCGACATCGGATACAGCAAAGTCGTCGTCTATGGCGAAGTCATCTTCGTCACCAGAACTCATCCGGTCATTGCCAACCGATATATCTACCGTTTCAGCCACTAGGCGCGTGCTTCGGGGTGGTTGTACACGTGTCGGTGCTGGTACACGTGGCGATCGCTGTGGTGACGGTGTTCTCGACGCAACCGCCTTCCTTGCGCGCTTCTTAGGGGGTGTTCTCACCGGCGTTTTGGGGGGCGCCTTTGCTGGCGGTTTAGTGTGAGACTTGGCAGGCGACTTGGCGGGAGACTGGCCGGGAGACGGAGCGGGTGACTTGGCCAGAGCCTTAGCATGAGTGCTGGCTGGGCATTTGGCTGGCGATGTGTCGGATTGGACTGCGGGCGGGCGAGCGGGTGATGCTGGGACTGACGCTTCAGCAGCAACGGCAGCGTCGTCATACAACACTACATCACAGTTAGTCTCTTCAACATTAGTATAATACGAACTGTAGGACGTACCATCTTCAGGCAAATGCTTCCATACTTCATCGGGACCCTCATAATAGTCGACAAGGTGGGCTGCGTGTGGTCGTTTCTCCCACCCTGCAGGTGTAAAGTAGCGATTCTCAGTTGCAAGCCCTTTTGGGCGCTCAAACCTTCATCCAAGTTTCTTGAGTTTGGTTCATAGTCTTCCCCAAGTAAGCGACTTAATTCGCTTGCGTTTTGCCATCCAGCTTTGGCTACTGCTGTCCGTCCGTCCGATTCGCAAATGACGCGAAACCTTGGACACGCGCGAAATCACTAAATCTGAAAATCATGAAAAACAGTGGCCACGAATAATACCCTCTGAGGTTAGCAACAATCGTCTGGCCTTCAAATCATTTCGTATTACTAAAAATTGTATACATGACTTGATTTGAGTATTGACCAATATTTATCCTGTATTATACAGGATAAGATTTTGGCTATCCTGTAGAATACAGGACGCGAATAGAGAGTTCTGCGACGGCCGGGGATTCTGATGGAATCTAGGGTCAACTTCCTATCTGATGTTTTAATGAGCATTGTTAGGGTGCATCTCCTTGGTTGCCAGCCATCGCGCTACAGCGAAGTTTGTGTTGTTGTTTCGATATAGACTCAAGGGTTAAGACACAGTTTGAGACTCAAACTATGCTCAAACTTTGTGCTGAGCTTCAGCCCCAGCGTGTGGCTGGATACATATACATGTAGTGCTCTCAGCTCTGCAAATGTGCAGACAAGTCCGCCGAGTGTACGCGAGTGTTGTCACGTGTCGTGAAAAATAGCGTCGTATCAGCCCAGCTGACAGCACTTAGCTGTGAAACCAATTGAGCTGTCGCGTTAAGTGCAGCTACACAGAAACCGACGTACTCGGCTGTAGCTAATGGTTTTATTATGTAGTATTAAAGAGTTGTATTGGAAAGTTAATGGAAGCGTTCATGAGGAGTAATCTGACGAATCTTTCCGGTGTGAGCCAAGGGTAATGTTGGGAATGGTGAGCCTGATAGGGCACCAATTAGTATTCTAATAGTCCCACAAAAATTAAAAGTCAAGTATATACATTATTCAACGCATCTTGTCGCTCTCGCGTGCCCGGATCGGTGTAATATCCCGTCTAGGTCTCACCAACAGCTCCTTGCGTGAGGTAATCCTCCCCCCTTCCTTCCCATACGTCTCTACGCACACACATAGTGTAAGGTGGAGTCGGATCTTCTTGCCCTCCATCCGTAGTAGCTCTCTTTGTTTCATTTGTATCTATTCGTAAGAGTACTATACGCTTCAGCCTTTCGGGATAGCATACGCACAACATACGTACTGCCGTCATCGGGTCTCGTCCGCACCTGGACAGACTGCTACCTCGCTACTCGTCCACATGGACTTCCGAGCCTTCACCGTGTCTGCAGCTACCCCGCCTCAGCAGCCGATGGTGCGGACACATCGTGCTGTTGCGCTCCCCTTTGCAAATGCTCTTCTGGCAGTTGACTCTTCCCAGCCACAGATGATATAAGTTTGTAATGTTTCCGTAATCTATCCCGTCGTAAATAACTTCTCCGCCTGTGGCATGAATCTCACAAGGTCGTGTCATACACTCCTGGACGTAGTTATACGGCCACCTCGTCGAGTGCCCATAACGCAGTCAATTTTTATTATTTGACGGTGCGGTTTTCGCACAGGTTGCAAAACATGCTTCAAGATAGCAAGAATGTGCTAACGCTCGCGTTTTTGCACTTTATAGGGAGGCTCCCTTACAAAAAAGAGATTTGTCGAGCTGGACACAGGATCCACGGTGTCAGCTAACTCGAATGTCGTCACAAGGTAGTTTGTATTCTGGTAGCCCGAGTCCCCAAGAAGAAGAAAAGGCAGCTTCGCATAACTACCTTCTCCTGTTGCGATCGTCACTGCCTTTGATGCGGCAGAAACTTCAGGGAATGAAAGTGCTAAAGCACTTTTTCTGAATACACGACTGTCGCCAACGCGACCCGGCCATTTGCAGAATCGACCCCTCCAATCCACAACTGCTTGTAATATTTCAAGCTACCAGCACTTGCGATTGTAATACATATCCCCATTAACACTTGGTCGACAAATTGGTATGTGAGATCCATCAATACAGCCTATAATCTGCGGAATACCGCATTGTTCTTCAAATCGGGATGCGCACGCCTCAAACGGAGGGAACGAGACCAGCGACTGCAGCTCACGACACACAACCTTGACAGCTTCTCTCATAATTCCGAACACTGTCGATGGCCCCACCCCGAAACCGGTCAGCGGTGCTTTGTAGAGTCACCCCTTGCGGACAGAGAAACAGAAAAATTGCCAAGCGCATATGCGGCAATACAGCGTCGGCGGTCTGTCGAACCGGAGCGAGTCTAGAACAGACAATTTGAGCGAGAGACTCAAAACTGATAGCATCCATACGAAACAGGTTACGCATACTACTGTTGAAAAATGCTCGGGAAGAAAACAACATTTTTGCCCAATGTAAGCTTCTCTCTTTAACAAGAATTTCCCGATCTTCAGGCTCAGCGTATGTGTCTATCACCTCCATTTCCACATTAAACGAATCTTGGAGAAGCATAATAGATTGCCCCCCTCCTACTACGACGGGTGCCATCGATTCCAGAAGCAGGAGTGTTACCAGAGCTTGCTCGTGCATGATAGCCTCGATTTGTATCCAGCGATTTTTAAAGAGTAGCACCGTTATTTATTTATACACGAGCCGTCACAACATATATTCGAGGTTCCAGATAATGATTGTGTGAAATCATCGCGAAAACGCGGTCCTTCGAACTTTTTTCAAGGTTCCAGATTCAAAGCTTAGGTGAAGAGGCCCAATAGGGATAAATTTGAGATTATGTGCCCACACCAATAGTAGGTATCGATTCGTTACAAATTTCAAATGAGAAGGTTTTATTTTTCTACCAATTTGTATGAAATTCACAGGTTTCACTCCAAGTAAAGGTTTGGCATGGGTACAAACTTATAGAACCTTGGGTGTACGAAAGAAAATAGTGCTTACAAATGCTTGGAGATGTTTTTTTTTTAGAAAATTTACTTTTTTCAGTTTTTCTTACACGGCTAGGTGTTGTGCTAGAATATCACTATTATCGTATTTGTAGATCTTAATAACTATAAAGAGGTCTGTAAACAAAGCTGTCGAGACTCGTTTTTTTTAAACAGTTCTGCACCCCCTTTTCGCGCCCTTGAACCTTTGATAAACTTTCGGATGTGATGATCCTGAATCCAAATTACCAAAAACTGTAAGCTAAAATCTGATTTATTCTCAAATCCTATATGGTCCACCACCGCGAAAACGGGGGTACTGTAGTACTGTACCAGTATCGTTAGTAAGAAAATTAAAGCTGAAATGGAAAATATATTTGAAAATACCAGAATTTGGTCCTCCCATTCTATTGGCTACAGCTCATTCATTACCCAACTCTACCATGGACTTCCAGAACCGCGTAGGCTCCAAGCCCGGCTCCGGTGGTGTAGCGTCGGACTCGCAAAGCAATGTAGACCGCCGCGAGCGCCTGCGCAAGCTGGCGCTGGAGACAGTAGATCTGGCCAAGGACCCGTACTTCATGAAGAACCACCTGGGCTCCTATGAATGCAAACTCTGTCTCACACTGCACAACAACGAGGGCAACTACCTAGCCCACACTCAGGGCAAGCGCCACCAGAGCAATCTAGCACGACGTGCTGCCAAGGAAGCGGCGGATGCGTCCCATTCGACAGCCGCTGCTAACCTCCAGGCTGCGCGGGCCGCGGCAGCGGCTGCTGCCTCCAAACCGAGAGCGTTAAAGATCGGCCTTCCCGGTTACAAGGTGACTAAACAGCGAGATCCCGACACGGGCGCCAGGATCCTTCTGTTCCAGATTGCATACCCGGAAATCGCGGATAAATTACAGCCGCGTCATAGATTCATGTCGGCTTTTGAGCAAAAAGTGGAGGCGCCGGATAAGCGCTGGCAGTATCTACTCTTTGCGTGCGAACCGTACGAGACGGTGGCGTTCAAGATCCCCAATGACGACGTTGACAAGAGCGAAGGCAAATTCTTCAGCAACTGGGACAAGGACGGCAAAACCTTCACGTTACAGCTGACGTTTGATGCTGGGGATGCCGTCAAGAAGAATCAACCAGCGCCACCCCCGCCACGCCCACAGCTGCGATATCTGTAGAATGAATGCTGTTATGCTGGTTTTACAGGATAATAAAGTTTGAAGACAGGATTGTTATTTTGCTGATTGCTACGCAGGAGGTTATCATGTTAATACAGTTTAAGCTTCATCTTAACTGACGGATAACATGTCGTATAAGAGAAAAACACTTCCTTCCTCACTCTGTGATCCACGTTACATGGCGGGAAACTCGAGCAGGAATTCCTTGCTGATGTCGGCCAGCTCGTCCACAACCTCAACGAGACCGCGGTAGAATCCCGTCTCGTGGAAACGCACGTCATACTGCTTGCACAGCGACTTGACCAGTGGGTTAACCTTTTGCAGGTTGTGACGCGGCATCATAGGGAACAGATGGTGCTCGATCTGATAGTTGAGACCGCCACAGAACCAGTCCATGAAGAAGCCCGGCGTAATGTTGCGCGTAGTGGTGACCTGCAACTGCCAGAAGTCGGGCTTGTCTTCACGCTCATACACCGACATACCGTTGTGGCCCACACTAAAGACAGCAGCCAGGAAGCCGCCACACGACATTTGCGCGAGCATAAAGAAGGCCAGACCCTGAGCCACCGACATGCCCGTGACAACGGGCAACATAACGTTCCAAATGTAGTGCAACATGAGGCCGACTTTCTCGCCATTCGGAAGATCCACGGGGTCGTATTTACCGAACGCGAAGCCTTTGAAGACGTAGTAGTAACTCTGCAACAGCCAGCTGAAGCGAGCGAAGAGTAGCAACGGAAAGTAGATGACAGCCTGGTGGCCCACAAAGAACGGACCCCAGCTCGACTCGTAGGCTTTCGACGCCATGTGCTTGCTCCAAGCCAACAATGGCATGGTATCGATGTCCGGGTCACCCAAATACTTTGTTTTTTCGTCCCCAATAATGTTGGGCACGGCGTGGTGGAAGTTGTGCTTGTTCTTCACACTGCACACTGAATCCCATCCAGACGTCACCGATAATGACGCCCCATGACGTTGCCAATCATGTGGTTGTCCCACACTTGATGGTGCAGCACGTCGTGTGCCAGCCAGCCGGATTGCTGCCAGAAGAGACCCATGACACACGCTGCGAGCATGTACATGGGCCAACTGTCAAAGTGCCAGCAGATAGCAGCAGAAGCCATCCAGAGACCGAACGTGCTGAGGATTTTCCACGCGTAGAAGACCATACTGGCGTCATAGAGGCCCATGCCCTTAATCTTGATACGTAGACGACGGTACGCGCTGATAAACTCGTCGGTCTTGGCTTTCTTAGCCTTCTCCTCCTCCGAGAGGTCCTCGTTGACCGTCGCCGTGCTCTCATCCACGTCGCCGATGTAGAACTGCTCTAGCTGCTTCCAGGAGCTCGTCGGGTGGCACACAGTGAAGATATCCGTGGCATCTTCACCCGCCTGGGAGAGCATGACCATGCCGCCCGGGTGGGCGTCCCATTTGCTGATGTCGTAGACCTTGTGGTGGATGACAATCCACGCATTGTCGTACGACGCGTGCTGCTTGACCTCCTGCCACGAGATCTTGCGCTTGGTCTTGGGGCCGTCCACCATTGGCAGTTATTGAATAAGACAGCTACTTGATGTGCGGCTGGAAAGTCGGAGACTGAAGACTGAAGCTGTGGCGAGCGTCGATCACCATACTGAGACCAAGTCACGCGCAACTGTTTCAGTGGTGGAGGCAGATCCGAACTGATTATTTTTCCATCGCGCATGGACGGGGTGCATGGATGAGATTTATGTGGCGTACATGAAAATGACAGCCAATCGGAGTCGCTCTCCGGTTTTTAGCCAATCGTAGTCATCCCGGCGTGACGTCATGATGTGCAAAGAGGTGATGCAGTCAGTTACTGACTCAGTACCTTGGCAATCATCGAAGCTAAAGGTCGCCAATAAACTGAATCGCCTTGTTGACGAGAAGCTGTCGAGCAGGGCAGGGACGCACACTCGGAAGTATGAAGCTCTACTGTAAGCTACTCGCTACATGCAGCTCAAACGCCATGCTGCATTTCTTCAACTAGCAACGTTAAGCTCTTGCCCGGCAGATTACGCGGGTCCGCAAAGATGGGAAGATCGGCCTGCTGCCACGTACTTCCTGTTGTGATGACCGACAGCCGTAGATTCGACGATACACCAAAGATACTGACATCATTTGGCACTGCCCAGAGCATCCTGCACCTACATGTAGCGCATCGCGTCGAGGTGTTTTCCGTGGGTCGACGTCTAACGAGGGTATTTAACATTCTTGGCGGTCTATATGTTTGTATTTTCTTTAGTTTGAGCTTGTGCATGCTGAAGTAGCATACATAGATACACTACGCAAACTACAGAACTACAGTACTTGGTTCACGGTTGCGACGTTGGCGGGGACTGGAATTGTCCTGACGAAGGAGTCACATTCGACGATGACGACGCATCCAGCGACGCCGGCATTGGAAGAGGCGAGTCCGTGTCAATCAACATGTCGGACGAGTTGAGCATGCCCGCGTCGGCAGTCAACGCCGACAAGACCGTGTTGCTGTTCGGAGTCGATGCAGGCGACGCCAACGCGTTCGTGTTGTTGATAGCGTTCGTGTTGCTCAATAACCGCGCGATCATCGCCACTTTCTGCGACTCGGAGCAGTCGGTGCGGTTCAATATCGATTGGATCTTGTTCTTGATCTCGGGCATACGGTCCAGTACATGCAGTAGCGTCGACGTAGTCACCGGCATAGGCGCTCGCGGTGCTTCTGTTCCTGGGAGTACAGAGGCAGCGTTCAACTCCATGGACGCACTGGCGTTCAATCCATTGGTCTGCACCATGTTTCCTCCCCAGGTTCCAGTGTTTGACGCTGTGGTAGCAGCTCCAGTCGCAGGAACAGTAGGCGCAATAGAAGACGTAGACAGGACGCCAACCGCTGTCATTTCACTCGTGAGACTCGCCGCATGAGAGCGTCGCGGCATCGAGCCACTCACGGCTGCACCAAAGTTCGAGCCAGCACCCAGCATGGCATCACCACTAGCTGAAAGTGGCGACCCGTCCCGTCCAACCGAAGCTACAGCAGCTGCCGCTTGTACAGCCACCACAGCAGCCTCTTTACTGCGTTTAATCACTTCGTCTGGACCCAACACAGTCGTCGGAAGAAGAGAAATCATATCCGTGTGCGACTTATGCGGCGGCGGCACCGCCACAGACATCGCCTTCGCTGTTACGGACGGGGAAACCGTAGCTTTCTTGGTAGTTGACTTCGTAGGGGTCGCAACAACTGGAGCTGACGTAGTAGGAGTCTCTGACGCTGCTGTAAGCGACGCCTTCGTCCCAAGATCCGAGCTCGATTCCGTCGCTCCGACGGGGATCGGGATCGGCGGGGGCGACGTCTTGTGCTTCATACACTGGATGATAGCGTCGAACGACGTCTTGATCGACTTAAGTTCGTCCATTCCGGTGGGTTTTTTATCGATAGCGAGCTTCTTTCTCTGCGCCAGTGTCATCTCCACTAAGCTGAGTTCACTCACGATGGAAGCAGGTGGTAATCCAGGAAACGAGTGACATTGCGGGAACGTGAGTAGCAGCTCACTGTGAGGCAAGCCGATCCGAGTATCCAGTACAACAGACGTGAGTTGCGCAGCCGCCACATTCGCAGCGGCAGCGGCACGTTGCGCTTTCAACGTGCTCAACTTATTGTCTTTCAGAACAGAAGCACCCGTGTTAGCAAGACTACCGGAGATAATCTTGCCATAGCGATCGTAACATTGTCGTGGTGACCGCTTCTTACACACGAAGCGAGAGACTGCAGTGGACGAGTTAAACACCTGAGCGATGAGCGTCCAGTTGGCGCCGTATAGCTCGAAGAGTTTCTTGAGAATGATGTCGTCATGCACACTCCAAGCGTCACGTCCAGAGTCCGACGACATGCTGCTCTTCCGAGCTCGTCCGGTGCTCGTCTTGGACTTCTTGGAGCTCTTCTGCGAGCCTGTCTTCGAGGCATCCGCTCCAGTAGCACTCGCAGCGGTCGTCGTGCCGCTGGACGCCGTACCTGACGAAGCAGTCGATGACGCTCCAGTGCCAGTACCTACACCAGCACCAAGAATGCCGCTTAGAAGCGCAGGATCGTCCCATTCGGCCGAATCGAGCGCATCCAAGTTCGTATCGCCCCAAAAATCGTCGTCAGCAAACTCCGATACATCTGGGACCGGTATGCCTTCTAAATCCACACGCATTTCTTTCTGAGACGCCGACTTGATCCCTCCCAACTGCGACTCCAGCTTGCGTTTAACACCTGAGGATACAGCAGCAGTACTTGAGCTTCCAGACGCCAATCCAAACATCCCAGCTCTCGCCACAGCAGCTCGTTGCTTCTTGTTGGACTTACTGGGCTTAGAAAAGTCTCCGTGTCCAACAGCTTGGTCCAGTTTAGATTTCCCCGGCAATGGCGCGGGGACAGGTGCTTGGGACACGATACGACACTCGGAACGTCATCTGGTTTGCTCGTATCCGAACCAACGTCCGGTCGACACACGCGCCACACTCGACATTGGAGGGTTCTGGGAGGTTTGTAGACGTCGAAATGAGTCTCCATCCCCTCCATACGCATCTGCATAAACACCTTTTCAAGCGCAATGTCCACAACGCCATTGTAGCGAGTATCCAGCGTGAAAAAGAGCTGCGAAGTGGCGTCTCCTTCTTGCCACTGACGATTGGCTTCCAACGTTGCCAGCTTCTCGAATGAACGCTCGTCTGACTGGAGGAAGACGTTGCTATCGTTCCAAAACGCTGCACTCTCCTCTTCATTACTCTCGGCGCTTTCAACAGTCTTGCCTTCTCCTTCCTGCTTCTTGTCAGTAACGTTGTGTACGTAGTTAACAGCATACCATTCCACAGGCGTCAGCTCGTCCGTATTAGCCAATAAGAGATGTTCTTCAGCATCCAGATCCACATTATGCACAATGAGCGGCGCTCCCAACTCGTTGGCATCTCCACAATACTTCTCATCACTCTCCACCTGCTGAGCTACCTGCGTAAGTCTCGCCATAGCTCCCGTATCCGTCAAACCGTTCCCACCGCTACTAGTGGCAGTTGAAGACCACCAGCTCGGCTTTTCGATCGTCAAGCTTGGCGTCATGTCCGATGGCACAGCCAGAAGTTCCTGGGGACTCATCTCGCCGAATACCTTCTCCGTGAGCGACGCTCCCACACGTAACAACGACGCTTCAATGGTATTCTCGCAGTGTAATCGGTAGACTGGCAGCGTATCAGCGCCACCCACAGCCATTTTGGCCCAACTTGCACGGAGTTTAGCGTCACAAGTAGCGTTCCAGTCTCCGTCCACGACGATAATGGCTTCACTTCCAAATACTGACACTGCTCGTCTCCCATTGGACATGGACAATCGAGTAGACGCTAGTGCTACACGCACCACTGCGCGATCAGCGAAGTGACACAGCGCACGACGCTGCATGGCAACAGATCCAGTCACACGTACGTAGTTGATATCTAGCAGAGACAGGAAAAACTCCAGTACAGGGAACATGGCGTTGAACTGGCAGTAAATCACCACCTTCTTGCCTTCCTGAAGCAACAGTCGACGTAGCAGTGGCTCCAGCACTTGCAGTTTCGCAGAACAACTCGTAAGCAAGCGCATATCCGCGTGTCCCAACTTGTCCATATCATTCACAAGATCGACACAATTGCAGATCTCTCGAAGACGAAGCAGAAGCTGCAGCCATACACTTAAACGCTCTTCACGGCCACTACAAGTATCCAGAGTAGCAGCGAACCCAGTCAACACGTTGCGGTACTGCGTCCTTTGTGACAGACTGGGTTGACAACTCAAGCTGATCTCGTCGATCTTGCCAAGTTCCGACTCGACTTCGCTCCGTACACGTCGCAAACTGAGACAAGATAACGCCACAAGCAAGGCATTCATGTACTGCGGAGTGTCCTCCTGCGATGCAGCCTTCCACAGCGACGCTCGGACACTGGATGACTTGCCATACAGCTGCATCACCTCCGCCACAGACGCTCTCTCCACGTTCAACTCCTGCACTGGCCACTTCTCCACTCGATGGCGTCGTTCAGTCACATGGTCATCCGACGCTTCTCGCACTAGAAACTCAGCGTACTGCAGTCGTAGTGCAGTGTTTTTCCAATTCTCAAGCGACTGTCCATTGCACAAGACTCGTCGCTGTCGTTGTCGCAGTTGCTGCAGCGCTGAGACACAGGCCGCATCTTCAAACTGCGCTCCATGCTCGTTTTCTACTACGACCATCTGCCAGTTCGTGAATGCCACAAACGCATCTCGGTCTTGAGCAAATGCACTCACGGGGCACAGCACACAGTAAATAGGGTCGTATAGTTCGTCCAAGTCCAGCTCGTCGTCGTCGTCGTACGTAAGAAACGCGTCCTCGGTCTTGTGTGCTTGAGCTCGAGACTTCCTCTTCCACTCCCGCTGCAGTTGTTCTCTACAAGACGAGGTACTACCAACACCATCATAAAGCTGAATACGCCGACCTGGGTGCCATATCCGAAGAAAATACCGCCATTTATGCAGCTCCTCCTCCGACACAATTATCAGATGCGGACCTGTCACCTGGTCTTCTGTAGTTACAGTCGTCTCGTCGCCGTGTTGCTTCTGAGAAGACACGATCTCGATGAGACTGAGGAAAGCGACGATAGTTGTTGCCTTGCCCATACCAAGTTGGTCATTCAGGAAAATGTTGAGACCGCTAGAATACAAATCCAGCATCCACCGCAACGCCAGTAGCTGGAAAGCAGCCAGAATAATGGTAGGACCTCCCGTAGTCTGTAGAGCAGTACACCGAGCTTGTAGATCCCGGAACGCTGCTTCACGTAGCGACCATGTCGACGACTTATCTGCATCTTCTGCAGTCGAAGAGGTCATCGCACTGCGAGCACGTTTGCCAGCACTCACGATGTACGTCATATGTGTCTTAGCTGACGCCAACACTGCGTCAGCCTTTGCTTCTCCCTTCTTAACATTAGCTCCATTGCTCCGAGCGACTTCGATAGTGTGGTATTTCAACGCCAAAACACCGTCGGATGTGCTAGCCACATCCAGATCCTCGCTCTTGCTTCGCTTGCCGTCATCCTCAGCATCTCCCGACATCGGGTCGTCAATCTCGCCTTGATCCGTACCTGCAGCTTCAAAGCGAACTCGTGATCTCGCAGCGATCCTCTCCATCGTCCGCCAAAAGGCCGAAATCTGCAACGCAATGCCACGCGCCATCTGACGATTCTCGTGCTCTTGACGCACACTTTCCGCCTTCTGCGCCACAATCACATCCGCCGCTAGACGGTGTTGAATCACACGCTTCCAATTGCGTTCCTGGGCAAAATCTGTCGCCATCCACTTCATTTCCTCCAGCAAAAAGTCCCAGTGCGACTTGCCACGCGCGGGAGTTGGCAGTCGTGGCAATTGCCTCTTCCGTGTCACACTCAACGTGCGCTTGTTCACCTCGCGATGGAGACGTACAGACTCGCGCAGATTCCCCTCAAACTCTGCATTTGTCGAATCCACCGAGGGCGACGAGCTTCGAGGCGTCGAAGTCGGTCGTTTAATACTCGCCAATCCGTTGCTAGAGCTGTGATCTGTAACTGCAGGTGTCGATGTAGCCATCAGCACTGGCTGTTGGTGAAGAGCCTTACGGTTCGAAGCTTCTTCATCTCGCCTTGTCTGCATTAAATACTTGGTAGGAGGCACTGACGTCCTCACAACGCGGTACGGAGGCCCCAATGGCAATGTTTCCTGCGGTTCCGAGCTCTCTATCTCCTCCGAGAATACATTGATGCTTTCTACAGTCTTCTGCGGTTGCTGCGGACTCTTAACTTTGCTTCTCTTCGCTTTCTTAGCGACCACAGCGTCCTTCTCAGCGTGAACAACACTCTCCGCCTCATCTAGCGGTCGCTTCTTCAAGATAATCTCATCGACAGACGACGCCTGCGCTACAGACTCTTTCACAACGCTAGAGCTCTCTGTCTCCGTCTCTGCGGCGGATTCTAGCGCTGTAACAGCGCTATCGTCATTGTCTGGCTTGCGCTCTTCAACTTCGGCTGCCTCAACGTGTCGATCTTGCTCTGGCGCCGTCTCCTTCTCTGCTAAACTATTACCGCCGTCCTCCTTCACATCCTCCCGCTCCTGCGCTTTACTGGCGGCTAGTGCGGCCTCCCGTTCGTCCACTAACTGGCTGCACATATTTTCTATCAGTTAGAATATCCATGTTACAAAACACAGCAGACACGGCGAGCTCATACCGCAAGAGAGATTCTTTATATTCTACAAGTTTGTCGCGGATGGACCTAAGGACGACAGCGCTGCTGGTGTTGCCGTCGCTGTCCGACGCCATCGCGTGTTCAACTGTTACGATTTCAACATTTAACCGATACAATAACAGTTTATCAGTGACCATCACTCTTACAATAACTCCACCATGCGGTGTGCCCTACGTGCTGCGTGGTTCACCCCGAGTAGCGCCGCTACTGCATCTAAGCGCAGCCACAGACACACACACGTCTCCACGTCAGCTCAGCTCACACCAGGTGTGCTCAGATAGACCCCGGCCACGTGTCGCGGAGTCGCGGTGGGAATCGGGTGCGGAATGGACAAAAATGCGCCGATTGGAGCGCAATTAAGGACTCAATCGATAGCAGAGACGTCGTTCTGTCCAATGCAGGGCTTCCCACCTCGATCCGAGCACGAGATCCCGTCCAAAATGCGCGCCAAAGTGCAGCGCAGCCCCCAGAGCGATTTGGAGGGCGGGCAACACGCGCCTCGAGGGAGCAGAGGCAGGCGAGAAAAATGGAGTGTGGAAGCGGGCGATAAAACTTACCGGTCGATGGCGTAGTGACCTCCCCAGGTGGCCTTTGTGCGATCACAAACGACTCACGCGGCACTTTCACGTTCTCTCAGAACCCCCCGCGCGACGGGACGGGGGGGGTCTTCCAGACTAAAGCAAAGTGATTGGTTAAAACCTTTCCTGCCGATCCAAAATATGATTGGCTAGAAGTTTCAATTGTCAATTTAAAAAATTGGAAAGGAATATCTGAGCAAAAATCTAAACATGTATTAGCCCATAATTGTTTTTCTTGTGAGCATTTTGAGATGCTCCAATATTTCTTAATACAGATCTGTAGTTTTGGGTTATGGAGTTAATCTAGGGTTACGAAACACTGCTCCAAAAATAGACCCCTTCCCCTGAGGACTCCACTGCAATTTAGTATTGGAGCATCTTAAAAATATCCTCACGGAAATCTATTAGGTTTTTTAATTAGATATCACTTTCTCCAACCCCACGACACTATAGTTTTTTAATTACTCCGTGTGGGTTTATGAGAGCTCCAAGGACTATTTTTTGGGGGCAACGCTCCGTAATAGCTCCGTAACCGTCGGATAGCTCCAAATCCTTTTTTTGTTGGGGTTAGCCCCAACAAGAAAAAATTAAGGACAAAAATGAGGACTAGAAGTTGATGGCCTTGCTTGGCCTCAGTATTGGTAGATGTTACTGTGAGCACATATAGAAATGTATCCCTGTATTAGCTCTCTACAACCGCGCTAGCAACTCTTCGCTAAACCTACGCGTTATTGCATGAGCTGTTGTGCCGTACGGTGTCTGGAATGATTTCCTGGATAGTGTTTTGTCCTTATGTTTAAGACAAAAATCGTCAAATGGAATAGTATAATCAAGTTAAATTTTAATTCCATACAAAGTGGCGTCGGGTGTCTCAACTGTCATATCAGACAGAGTTGGCGCGCTAGATGTTAAGGACAAAATCACTCGGAATTTCACGATCTTGCGTCTTATTTCGTCCTCATTTTAAGGACAAATTTTGTTGGGGCTAATTTTGGAATAACGCAAGGCTTGGAATAGGGATCAAATCTGAATAAATGACGGATAGATTACCGATCGATATTCCAATAATTTATTCCAGTGGAATATATTTCTGGACGAAGAAAATTCTTATTCCAAAGCCTGAGTTATTCCAGCAGCGGCTTTAGCTGGAATAGAACGTGGTCCAAAAATTTGATCATAATAGCGTTAGCCGTATTGCGGGCATGTTACCACATCGTTCACCCTAAAAGAGGTACAAGACACCGTCCATATTAATAGTTATGTAATTTTGGTAAAGTTCCTATTTTATTAAAAGTGACGTCTCAAATGTGCGACTTATTAAGTCACGACTAAACTCCCACAAATGATTGTGATACCGGTAGATGATCAAAAACCGCGATCTCTCTTTGACTGGCATCTGTCTTTGTTAATATTTGATACCCTCGACAATATTTCCAAACAGCGATGTATGGTTTCGTTCTTGCTGTAAGTCGAAGTATTATTAATATGTCCTATCTTTTAAAGCAATGCTTAGTGTCTCGAGCGATTTATTTTCAGAGATCAGCTTACGAAAAACTAGTATATCAATTAGTAGCGTCTAAATACCGTAAAAATCGGCCCAGTGCGACATCATTTTTTGGTCAAAGTCAAGACAAATTTAAAACTTCGTTAAGGTTTTTAGCTGACCCCTTTTAATGACATCCGTCCTACGTCCTCTTTTAGAGATCTGTCTCTGGAGGATGGAACGTCGCACTGGACCCGTTTGTCGCACTGGGGCCGACTTTTGGTACATCCAGAACATTCACAAACATTAATCACAGCTTCTCAGCACCTTCATCTTTGACCAATTATTACTTACTAAATCTCATATAACAGAGAACTTTGTCAAAATTCGTTAGGCAAAATGGTTTGCGTGGATATCAACCTGTTCTCGTCCGATACAGTCAAATTTGCTAGAATCAGTTTCCCAGACGTCATGCTTCAATTGATAATATGCAACAGCCAGACACGGAGACCAATGCTAGCCTGCTTATGATTGACCCAGCCATACAGTATGTGCCGGGTATGTGACTGAGCGTGCGGTGACATACTAGAGAACTTTAGTTTCTGGAAAAACCCCGGCTTTGGAGAAACATTTTTCTTCGTCCAAGATTTATATTCCAGGGGAAGAGCGAAGTGTCGCGTTGTTCCACTGGAATAAAGTATTGGCACATCGATCGGTAATATATCCGTCATTTATCTGGATAGGAGCTTTCGTTTCTGGAATACCTGGAATAGCGAGTGTCTGGATAAAATCCAAATAAATGACGGATGGATTACCGATCGATATGCCAATACTTTATTCCAGTGGAACAGCGCGACACTTCGCGGAATATATTTCTGGGCGAAGAAAATTCTAATTCCAAAGCCTCAGTTATTCCAGAAACTAAAGTTCTGTAGTGAAATATGTTTGGCATAGTGGCATATATGCACCACTTAAATACTTTGAGCCAACTCTTTTGTGCTTGATATTTAATGACATCCCATTTTTTACTCATGAAATTAAACACGCTAGCTTAACTTATGTGGACTGCGTATTTTCTATCAAATAATAAATTACATTAAGTCATAGGCAGCGCCCAACTGGGATTCGACGACCTTACCCAATCCAAGTTTATTGCTCATCACATTCCAAAGGAAAATGAGGACGGATGTCATTTCGATCTTTAGGATCTGCTCAATAAATGATTCTCACACCTAATAAATGCAATGTTTGGCTCGCAGGAATGCTCGGCGCTAGGCCCGCCTCCGCAAATACCGCGCGGGCTTGCTGCGGCTACGCGACCTCGCATCCGCTCGCCTCAGTAAGTCTTATCCATTTTAATTTACACTCTATTTGTCGCCTCGATTACGGCTAAGATCAAGCTTGAGCTGTGCAAACTGATGAGTCCGGGCCTGGCGGGTTCACGGCACGTGGTGATGCGCCTATCACGCTGGGGGAGCTTCTGCATAGCTGGTTAGTGGCCTCAAGGCACGCGGCGCTAGCCTCAGCTGGATGCTGGCACGCGTTCGCCGCTGCATGAATTTTAACTCGTCAGGAGGCACTGAGGCTGCAGAAGAAGTGTCAGCTTACGCTCAACTGCATTTTAATCTAGCTCATTAATAAACTTACCTGCTTGGTATCAAGTCCCGGGTTATCGCGACAAAGCTAGCTTTGCGCCTGTCGAGCGCTGAGTTTGCTGGTCCCGGAAGTCGCTGACTGTCCGGAAGCTGTCCACGCCAGCTAAGTGCGATTCAAGGAGAACACCTAAGTGCGGTTTGCATCAGGTTCGGGGTGTTTAGTGCGGTCAACTTCAGCTTCAACATGACGGGAACGAGGTTCACGTGGATTCCGATGGTGATGTGAACATGTCGATCCCTCAACTAATCTTTGAAGCCATCAAGCCTCCCGAGCTGCGGAGCTGGGAGCACTCTGCCTTGCTCGAATGGCTTCGTGAGTGGAAACGCTACGTAGAAAAGGCTCGTCACCGCTGTACGACGACGGGCGAAACACTTGAGAATGTTGTAGCTACTGTAAAGGGGTCTGTGAGCTGCGATGTTCTCAAGACAATTGCAACTTACATACTGAAGAAACTTGCGGAGGCAGTAACAGATGCGGACATCCTGGGGGTGATCGAGACCCGTTGCCGCACTCTCAAGAACAATTTTGTGCCAGACGTCACGGCTTTGTTCCGTGAGAAGCTAAAAATGGACCTGTCAATTGATGACTATGACGCCCGCGTCTTTCAATACTATCAGGACTGCTCTCGCATTGTGGAGAACAATGGCCCGCAAGGGCTAATCGCGAACGGTGATGTGGGTACTGAAGCGTACAAGAGTCGTATGAAGGCTCGCTGTCGTCTACTGGTGGAAAATCTGCAGCCTTCAGTGCTAAGAGCTCAGATTACCCGACTTATCGACTGAGAGAGGCAAAATGGATGACGTTGCCCTCTTTGATTTGATATCGGAACATGCGAAGGCCCAACAACGTTTCCATCGTCTGTCGAACAACTACGCGACTTAGAGTGATCGTCAGAAGGCCAGAGCGAGTGCTAAGACAGCCACGTCGGGATCGACTAAGTATGGGTCAACGCCTGCGTCGTTGGCAACGAAAAAGCAGGCAGCCCAAACCGCCAGACGAAACATCCGTGCTGCTCGCCCAACTAGATCTCCCCCGACAGAAGGGTGTTTGGTGTGTAAGGGCTCCCATTGGCTGAATGATTTCCCAACTGCGACAGATGAGCAGAAAGAGGGGGCACAGAAGCGGTATCGCACTGCCAAGGAACAGCGGAATGCGTCCATTCGCTTCAAGACTGTACAATCTGGTGCGGGCAGGAGTCTCGTGCGCATCAATGGATTACTTGAGGTGGCGTACATACCCGACTCAGGTGCGGACAAGAATATTTTTCCTCGAGGAATTGTGACTTCGCTGCTTGCTGTCCAGTCACGTGTAGAAGTGGTCAACCTTCCTTCGCCTGTTGATGCAGTTCCGGCAGACAGAAGTGTCCAGATATGTCTCCTGGAGCTGGTGCTGGACCTTGAATTGGTAATGATTGCTGGCCCAGTTCAGTACCATGTTTGGTTATGGAAGGTGATGGTGATGAATTATTGCTTGGCAAAGAGGCTTTAAAGCGATTGGGCATCGATGTGGAATATTCGCTAGCTCAACTTGCTGGGTCAACATTAATAGCGGATGAGGAGGACGAATTTCCGGTTGGAGCGGAGCTCCAGACCCTCAACAGTCACTGCTTGGCGCAGTGGCGACTGATCCGCTTCACAAGCGTGCTGTTGCTAATGACCTTCCGACTGACCAGGTCGACACCATTAGTAACTTGTTGAACACGCTCCCTGGAATTTGGCGTGGCTCGGCTGGTGCTGGACTGTGACGTGGTGGTCACTAGCCAATGGCATGGCAGTGACCAGCCACGTCAATTATTTGAGTTCAGCTGGTTAGATTATTATGATCAGCGTAAACTTAAGATTGCGTGTCTTTACATCATACTACAATCCTATTGGTCCAAAATCCCATGGATTTGCAACAATCAAGCTTCCAGCCGGAAATTGTGATTATGGGACGCTGTGCGAAATTTCCGACCAAGATAATAATTAGGATTCATAGGCTTTCATTGGTAGTTACAGAGAAAATCAGGATTTGAGAAAGATAGGTTTTAGGATGGACCTGGATACGTGCGTGAATATCCGGTTGTCAAGAACTACTGGTTGTGCGGCAGCTACTAGCTTGCAGCCGCCAACTCTAACTGATTAATCACTTCTCAATTTGCTTTCGAGCAGCAACTCCTCTCCTCCCCTTCAACTGTCTACGGCACCGTACTCGCCGTCTCCGCTCCTACACTTCCTCGCTACTTCGTGACATAGTAGCACTGGTCGTGTCAAGCTTCGGTTCAAGTCGGGCATTCGTGGTGGCATATCCAAAAACGAGCTGTCCTGAGATATTGGTGCCAGCCACATAGCTGCCTCACCACGAACGGTAACGTTCAGTGACTTGTTGGTGTGGTTGCGCACTAGTGTGGTACACACAATCGGAAACCCTTTCTGGTGGCCTGCGGCTTAACGCTTTCACGTTTTACGTGGATCCTAGTCCCGCATCAGATATTAACGGAGTGAACATCCGATTAGATGCTCACTGTTTGTTCTTGATCTATTTCCGTTGGTACTGCATCTGTTTCAGTGTGCTTATTTATGGGTCAGCGAAAGCCTCGCCAACCCTAATATCCGTGTGTAAACAGCACAAAGTCCTTGACTGATCGACACAAGCAGCTCGATCAGCTTCGTCTGGACTTGTGGCTAACAGCGGTAAAGCAACTTAAGCTCGTCCGCCTCATCCGAAACGAAATTCCGGATTCTAAGGACGCTGCCACCCGGAACGTCATTCACGACTTCAGTGAATTGCTCAAGAAACGTATTGAGCAAACCCAAGAAATTCTTGAAGGATCTTTTGATCACTCCATCCACGTAGACAAGAAACGTAGATTGTAGGGAGGAACTTTATATATCGGAACCTTTTTTCGCTTCGTTTAACTTCGGTATAGGGTTCTGGTATCTTAAAAGACTTGCGCTGAGAAGTCCAGCTTGTAATGGCTCAAAGAAGGAGTCGTGCAGCTGAGCGCCCGTCACCGAACCCTCGTCCTCGTCAACAGAGCCGTGTTAGTGCTCCGAGCGACGCTGAAGCTACCCAACCCACGATGCGAACAAATACAAGATCGCAAGCGTCAAGAGAAGGGGCCAGTGCCAACGCACAGGCTGAGTCAGCCTCCCCTGCTACTGATGCTGCTCAGGATGCGGCTGGACCTGAGACCATGTCCATGCAGCAGCTGCTCGTATACATTACGCAGCAGCAACAGCAGTATCAAGCTCAGATGCAAGCGCAAATGCAAGCCCAAATGCAACAATCTAATGCGAGATTCGAATATCTCGTTGCCGCTAGGGGTGAGCAGAAGAAGAAGGACCCTCCGATGTATGAAAGAAAGTATGGTGAAGACATTGAATTGTGGATCTTTGCCACCGAGCAGTACTACGCAAGCAGACGTGAGTTAATGGAGGCAGACTCGTCAGGTTTCGTGACGATAATCTCCACAACTTAGGCAAGTCAGTGTTGAACCGGTGTAGCGCTTTTATAGCCGAATGTGAGAGAGCGAGTGTGAACCCCACGTGGTCGTTGCTTAAGCAACAACTGCGCACACGCTTCCGACCAAAAGACTTCGAGTACGATCTTCGCAAGAGTATGTTTCGTCTCAAACAGACCGAGACTATTCACGAGTATGTCTCCAAGTTTCAAGACTTGCTGTCGCAGACAGAGTTGACGATCAGTGAGTTGGAGAAACGCTTCTTTTTTTCAAAACGGGTTACGTGAAGAAACAGCAAAGAAGATCAAAGAAGAGAGTCCATCAACGCTACAAGAAGCCATTGAAATTGCTTCGAACTTCGAGTTTGCGCACTACTCCGGGAAACCTCCTCGAACACCTTCGAAGCCTTCAAAAGGGTCGTCGGACTCGGGGCATCATCCGCCTAAATCGAAACAGCAGAACAACAAGCGTTACGAAACGAAAAAAGGCAAGAACGATGATTGCAAAAAGACAGCTACGTGCAGAAATTGTGACAAGGTTGGTCACATTTCTCCAGAATGTACTCAGCCAAAACGTACGGAAGCAAACCGGTACATGCAGGGCGCAGTGTATGCGATCCTAGAGGCTGAAGCTCGAGCATTCAAGACGGAAGACCAAGAGAGGCCCGTCACGATATTCATTGACAACGGCAGTAGCCTGAACGGCGTAACTGAGGAGTTAGTGATGAAGCTTGAGTTGGATGTCACTGAAGGTGACATGATGCAAGTTGATCTCGGTTATGATCAGATTGTGCATCGTCCACGTCGGACTGTAGAGATGTCTCTACAGTTACCAGGATTTCCCTTGACAACGGGAACATTCCAAGTCATGCCTGTTCCTGAGGGAAAGGACATAGTTTTAGGCATGATGTGGCTGCGGGAGCAGAACCCTGACATCGACTGGAGTACTGGACAGATTGCACCTCGCATCAACGTGGAGAACACGCAGACTGTGAAGTTGAGACTGCCGAAGACTCGTCCAGCCCATTAGGTGGCAGGACAACGCCGCGCCAGAATTGTGCAAAGCCGTGAGATTTACAGCTACTATCGGCAGCATGGCCACAACGGCCAGTTTGGACGAACGAAGATTATTTCGTCCCATCAATTCCAGCACATGGTGCGTAGGGACAAGGACGTCGAAGCGGTGTTTGTTATCATTCCGCATGACTCGGAGAAGGCGGAGCGCTTCAAGAGTCAAGGATGGGATGCTCTCAAGGACAATCCGGCGTACGATACGCTACGTAAGTATGCGGATACGGTTTTTCGCACGGAACTTCCGAATGAGACACCCCCAGTACGTGAAGGGATTGAGCATGAGATTCTGCTCAAGCCTGATACTTCGCCTATTTCGGTGAAACAATGGCGCCAAAGTCCTGATCAGAAGAAAACGATACAGGAATGGACCAAAGAGATGGTTCAAGCTGGTATCATTCGACCGAGTACGTCAGCGTTTTGTGCACCGACTTTCTGTGTGAAGAAACCAGTCGGATGGCGAATTGTGCACGACTATCGTCAGTTGAATTTAGCTACGGTTCTACCGGCTATTCCGATGCCTCGCAAAGAAGACACCTTTGATGCGATGGCCGGCAGCTATTGGTACTCGTGCATGGACTTACTCTGGGGTTACTACCAAGTTAAGCTACGTGAATCAGATATACCTTTTACTGCTTTTTCGACTCCAGACGGTCTTTTTGAATATCTCGTCACGCCCATGGGACTCAGCGGTAGCCCGAGAACCTTTAACAAGTTTTTACAGAACGTTTTCAGGGATTTACGTGACGTGATGCGGATTTACTTCGACGACATTTACGCGTACACCAAAATAGAAGATGTCGACGAGCATATTGCCGCGTTGGGCAGGGTTTGGAAGCGACGTGAAGAGCAGAAGCTATACGTCAAAGCTGTCTAAGTGCCAACTTTGTGTCGACGAAATTCCATCTTTAGGTGGCTTTGTCGGACGCAAGGGTGTTCGAATGGACCCCGATAAGGTGAAGATTATCACAGATTGGCCTGTTCCCAAGACAAAGAAGCAAATGGAAAGCTTTCTGGGGACAACCGTCTACGTTTCTCGATTTTGCAAGGATTTCGCTCAGTTTGCATGTCCTTTGCACGAATGTATCAAGGGAAAACGCTCTAGAGATGCGATCGAACTCAATGAGGACCAGCTGCGGTGTTTTGATGAGCTAAAGAAACGCTTGTCATCACCACCGGTTCTCCGTCTTCCTGATGTCACCAAGCCTTTCGGTATTCGAATGGACGCCTCAAATTTCGCAATTGGGGGAGTCTTATTCCAAAAGGAGGGAGAGTTGGAACATCCAATTGCCTTTACTGGCCGGAAGATGAAACCTGCAGAGCTGAACTACCCAGTACGCGAACAAGAGCTTCTCGCAATCATGCATGCTCTGAAGGCATGGCGTGTATATCTGCTAGACAAGCCTTTTCTTGGCGAAACCGATCATAAGAGCATCGAGATGATTCTTACGCAGAAGACAGCGAATAGACGCATTGCGCGGTGGTTCAATGAACTCGCGGAGTTTCGGCCCATGTTCAAGTGGATCCCCGGAGAAACAATTGTAGTCGCAGACGCATTATCAAGAAACCCTGAGTTCGAGCATAAGGCTGCGCAAGTAAGCCTTCAGGAACTTCTTGATACGGCTCAAAACCGTGCGATTGTGGCAACTATGGTAGCGAACAACGTGACTGTGGCACAGTCCGCAAAGAAGATGTATTCGTGGAACAAGGACTTGCAGGGAATTGTCAAGAAGCTTAAGCTTGGAGACAACGTTCCGCATTACTCGCTCAATGATGGTGTTTTATACTACCAGACCGGTGAAGATGAAAGTCCGCGACTGTATATTCCGGATGACGAAGATCTGAGAAACCGTGTCATTTGCGAGAACCACGATGCCGTAACGGCAGGCCATCCTGGATCGTACAAGACTTACGTCGCAGTACGAGAGAAGTATTATTGGCCGAAGATGATGAAGTATATCCAGCGTTATTGCAACACTTGTGAAATGTGTCAGCGCAACAAGGCGAGACAAGTGAAACCGCCGGGATTACTTCAACCGCTGGAAGTACCAAGAGGTAGATGGATCGACATTTCGATGGATTTCATTGTGTCCTTACCTCCCAGCAAGGATGGTTGTAATGCCATCATGGTCATCGTAGATCGATTGACCAAGCGTGCAAAGTTCATTGCAACGCAGACGACAGATAGCGCAGAAGATACCGCGCATGTCTTCATGAAGAACTATGTAAAAG